GCCATTGGCTGTGGAGCCGTTAGCATCTGTGGAGCCATTTGAATATGTAGCTGTAGTCTTGGATGAGCCATTTGAATCAGTTGAAGTTGCATCAGTTGAAGTTGAATCAGTTGAAGCTTTGGCTGTGGGACCATTAGCATCTGTAGAACCGTTTGAATATGTAGCTCTGGTCTTGAGTGAACCATTTGAGTCAGTTGAAGCAGTCATTGATGAGCCATTTGAATCAGTAGAAGAAATAATTATGGAACCATTTGAATCAGTGGAAAAAATGATGGATGATCCATTGGAGTCAGTTGATGCAGTCTTGGATGAACTATATGGACCATTAGAAGCATTTGAATCAGTTGAAGCAGTAGTCATGGAGACTTTTGAATTAGTTGAAACAGTGATAGGTAAACCATTTGAATTACTTGAAGTAGTTTTGGATGATCCACGTGAATAGGTTGAACCATTTAAATCAGTAGCATCAGTGATTGTGGAGCTATTATCATCAGTTGGAGCAGTATTGGATGGACCATTTGAGCCAGTTGAGCTGCGTGAATCAGTGGAAGCAGTCATTGAGGAGCCATTAGACTCAGTAGCTTGTTGTGAATCAGTAGAAATGGACTTGGATGAACCATGGGAAGCAGTTGAGCCATTTAGGTCAGTAGAGTCAGTCTTAGATGAGCCATTTGAGTCCGTGGAAAAAGTTATTGTGGAACCAGTTGAGGCAGTTGAACCATTTGAGTAGGTTGAAGCAGTATTGGTTGAGCCATTTGAATCAGTTGAACCATTTGCATCAGTTGAACCATTTGAGTCAGTTGAAACAGTGATAATAGAACCATTTAAATCAGTAGAAGCATGCTTGGATGTCCCATCTGAATCAGTGGAAACAGTGATGGATGAAACATTTACGTCAGTGGAAGTAGTCATTGATGCACCATGTGAATCAGTTGAGACAGTAATTGTAGAGCCATGTACATCAGTTGAAGCAGTAAATGAGGAACCATTTGAATCACTTACAGAAGTTGATTTGGATGAGCGATGTGAATCAGTTGAAGCAGTGATAATGGAACCGTTTGTGTCAGTTGAAGCAGCCGATGCACTCTTAGATGAGCCATGTGAACCAGTGGAAGCAGTGATAATGGAACCGTTTGTGTCAGTTGAAGCAGTCGATGCACTTTTGGATGTGCCATGTGAACCAGTAGAAGCAGTCATTGTGGAACCATCAGAGTTAGTAGAGCCAGTAATTGTGGATTCTTCAGCTTCAGTTGAACCATTTGACTCAGTAGAATCAGTCATTGTGGAGACATCTAAGTCAGTTGATGAAGCCATTGATGAGCCATATGAACCATGTAAATCAATTGAAGTAGTAGTTGACGAGCCATGTGAAGAAGTAGATGCACTCTTGGAAGAATCATGTGAATCAGTTGAAACACTGGAAGAGCTAGAATCAGTGATAGTAGAACCATTTGAGCCGCTTGGAGTATTTGGATCAGTGGAGCCACTGATGACAGATCCATTTGAGGCAGTTGAAGTAGTCTTAGATGAGCCAGATGAACTAGATGAACCAGTTGAGCCAGTTGAGCCATGTGAACCAATTGATGATGTTTCGGATGAACTTAATGATGATGATGAAAATATTGAAGAAGAAGAATCAGAGCTGTAATAACTTGACAAGTCTGAAGATGATGTGGATTCACTGAAAAGATTATCTGACGAAGCAAGATCTGAAGGATTGGTCAAAAACGTCGAACTTGGTGTAACAATATCCGAGAATTGAGATGATGTAGTTGAGTTTCCTGATGTAATGCTTGAAATTTCTGCAAGCGTTGAAGATAAAGAAATCTGCGAGTAAGATGATTCTGTTGATTCCGAAGAGACGATTGATGGAATAGTAGATGATGAAATTTTTCCACTTGATGACGGAGTTGGGAAAATACCTTCTGATATGGAAATATTATCAGAGCAGTCCAAGAAAGAGCTTAAACCATGACAATCAAATGACAGACCTTGTGAGTAGACTGGACAATCACCCCAATGTGTAACACCACAAACCAGATTCGCCAAAGTCGAACCAACAGTGGACCCAGCATTACCAACATATAAAGTGTAATAAGTATAATCTTTTTTGGTATCCGAAGGAGGTATTTTAAATTCAAAAGCAACATAATCCAACAAACAATATGAAGGGATTGTAAGAATGAAGGTCAAGTATGGAATTGTGACATCATAAGTGACAATGAAAGTACCCTTTTCTTTATTGACTTTACCTTTAAAATTTGAAAGTTCAAGACCAAATGCATGAACAGAAAAGTCAGAAGCATCAATAGGTTCATCAAATTGGAAATACCAAGAAATTGTTAAAATACGGGAACGAAGCAAAAGCCCTTCACTTTTCCCTGCAATATCATAAATGGCCGAGTATGGCTTATCTTCAATAGTACCTGTTTGAGAGCTGGAGAGACATCCATTGGAAAGAGTTGTAGAGCGATAAATATCTGTTGTAACTGTATCAATACCTGAGACAATTGATTCTGACGAAGCTTCTGTAACCTGAGCTGAAGCAAATTGTATTAGCAAAATTGCACCCACTAATAAAGAATTGAAAGCGTTAAAAACCTTCATCTTATGAGTAATGTGTAATTATATAAGTTTTCAAATAAAGCATTTCAAACTTCAAAATATGGGGGAATTCGTAGGTATTTTAACAATAAATATGTCATCAGGTTTATAAACCCTGTGAAGGAGTGTTAACAGGATGAATATCGTATTTTAGTTAGCAAAGAATGAAAACCATATTGATGAACTTCGAATATTGAATTGAAACCACTGTACCAATAAACCCTTGTACGTTGAAAAAAATAACTTTTGAAGTACATTAAGCATTTGTGCTATATCAGTTAGCCTCTTTGGCTTCTCAATTGAATAATTTTCAATATCGAACAACGCATATCCCCATCAATACCTTGCACTTCGTAAATATTGAGCATCAAAACACATTATGATATGCGGATCTGCTAGCCGTTTACCACAATTTTATCTCTTTAAAACATTATCAATTAAAATCTGATAAAGCGAAACCCAATTTGGAAGATATTTAGATCCCAGCACCATCCGTAAATTCGTAAATGAACAATAACTATTCTTCAAAAGTATTCGACGTTGATGATTCACAAGTAACATTTCTAGTAATGACACATAAAACGCGTACCACCATAGCACTCCACTCCGCAATTTAATATTTCACATTATATCAGTGTTCTCACTCCTTAATAGTAAATATGCGCTTGTTTTGATGGATGGCCTTATCCATTGAGTTCCTTCAACAGTATTCCATCAATATCCTATAATTATAATGCTGCCAAACCGAGTTCTTTTCCCACTATATGCTATTCGATATCGTGACAAGTTCAATTATCCAGTATCATCCACCTAGTCAGTCCTATATCTTCCATAATGATCACCAGTAAACATCTTTCTAATTGGTTTTCGATCCAAAGTTCAAACAAAATCAACAATATCAATTACGAAAAATTGGACTGAAATTTACACACACGGACCCGTATTTACACCATATACGTTAATATGTTGATACTTTTCAAAGAGTTATTAATTGATAAATTCGTCTCACAAAGGTGGTAAAACCTTACAAATAGGTGAGATGACGCATATACTGAGTCCTGACTCGTACACGGTCCAATATACGACAATATAGCTTGTGGTGTTGGCTGCGGTTCAATTGTAGTACTTACCACTGAGTTTATGGAACCGGCTAAATCAAATTCAAGTAGGTGCTATTATTATATGCAAAAGGTCTTAAATTCCCTATATAGAATATAAACGATATTGTCTTGATATGCATCAATGGCCTCAGATATTTGAATGATCAGACGACTATATGCTACGTCCTAGCAATTCAACCGGTAATACAAAGATTTACTATAAGATCGTACATAAAAATATAACGATATATTCATGTAATATTGAAATAAAGTCGAGCTTAACTTATAAAAAACATATATATTGCAAGTTCTATATGTATTTATATTTTCTAAATTCCATAATATTAAGACCATATCTCAACTAGCGAATCTAAAATCCAGTCTCTTGTTTCCCTCATCAGATGTGTTATGAATGTATTCAATTTGTTCATCATCAGTCATTGAATTCCAAATTTTTTCTTTATATGAATTTCTTGATAAATAATAAATCTTTATAGAAATAATTAAAAGAAAAGTCAACCCTGAAATGAAGAATAAATGCTTATTAGATTTATGATAATATGGTGCATCATCTGGTTGATAGATTTGAGAAGCAACCATACCACCAGCTTGATTAAACATGTTATAAATAGCAGCGGATACAGCTCTTGTTCTAATTGAATTTGAATTTCTTGAACACCAAGAAACATTTATAGCATGAATATACGGGACGGATAATAATAACGTTATGACTAACCATGTACCCCATTTGTTAATAAAAGCACCTTCCCACCATGTCAATATAGCAAGTAGCGGTAATGACCAGATTGGGTTTATCAAAGTTACCAATGATCTATTTTGAACAATCTCAGATAGCCAAGTGATTCCTAATAAGAAAGAAATATGAAACAAATTGAATGGGATAGTTAATAAATTTGTAGTGAATGTACTAAATCCCAAGTTTTTCAATGTTAATGTGAAATATTTATCTGTAGCAGAAACTGGAATGAATGCAATAAATCCTAAAGCATAAATTGGCCATAAATCATAATCTAGTATGGATTTTGATAATGTTGAAAAAGATAAACCTTGTCTATTATGCATATCACCTTTTGATGGATCATTTCGAAGAACTCTATTGACAACAATTTTTTCTTCCCTTTCAGTGAACCAACCTTGTGGATTCCATTTAGTTTTAGTTTCAGCTGCAGATGGAACCATCAAAAAATATGATGCGATACCTATAGCTAATGTGAATATACCTTCAATCATGAATAACCATCTCCATCCAGCAAGTCCCAAGAATCCTCTCAATCTCAATAAAACAAATGCTAATAATGCTGTTAAAACTTGACATAATGAGCTTGATGTCCAAAACAACGCTAATCTAACTGATAATTCTTCAGATGTAAAGAAATATGATAGCCAAAGAACAATATCCGGTATGAACCCACCTTCTAAAGCTGCGATCAAAGCTCTCGTTATGAAAAATGATGTTCTCCCTGTTAAGCCAGCTTGTGCTATAGCAACAATTGACCATAGGATCATCTGTACTGGTAACCAAACATCTGGACCAAGTGCTTTTGCTATTAGACCTGAAGGTAACTCTGCACTCAAGAATGATGCACTCCATATTAGATTTCCGATATTATAATCAGCAGTTGTTAATCCCAAATCACCCAATAAATTATCCGAAACAGCTTGACCTAGATTACCTCTATCAATTTGTAATCCAACAAACATGAAACAAGCTAAAGCTGTAACTTTCCAATCTAATTTTGATTTCAATTGTTTTTCTTCTTCATCAGTCCAATAAAATTCAGGGTCAAATAAATGATTACATTCATAGCCAGCTTCTTCATAAACTTTAGACCAATATTTGGAAACTTCAGGATCTCTGAATGGATTTTGCGATGTATCAAATACAAGACCAGATCTTATTGATTCAGTATCACTCAAGGGTATTGATTTATCCAAACTAGAATAAGTAACATCATTATAATTTTCATCAGCTGTTATGCTTAACCAACTCTGTTTCTTCTTTAGGCTATTCAGAAAGGACATAGTGGATTTTCTTAGATGTACCCTGTATGTATACTGGATCTAAGTGGAAAACTAATGTAGGAGGAGGTATGGAGTAGCGTTAAATGATGTATGTTGATACTTTCACCAAAATTTTATGACTTTGATGGGGTTTTAAAGAATATTGGATTCTAATTTTGAATCCCAATCAAATCAGGCACCTCCCATTTTCTGTTAGTCTTTGTTTTCACTTTCTCCTTAGAAATCTTTCAAATGTGATGAAATGTCAAAATTACGTATCTGTGGCTGATATGTATTTTGTCGAAACTTTTGAACTTGAAATATCACGAGTATTGAGCATTGGTAATGGCTGATAATGGCTGATACTTGGCTTTATAACATATGGCTGGAGATTTATGAGAACCAACTAGAAAACAACACCTATAGACCATCCCGATCACCTAATAGCTTAACAAAGAGAATAAAAGGATCATAATCCATTCCATTCCTTAGAGTATTATTACTTCAAAGCTCTTATCACCATCCACCTTGTTTGAATTGTGGCTGATAATGAGCAGCTTGTGGCTCGTGGGGGATCATAGTCAAATTTCCATTTGTTACTAGTTAGCTTTCAAATCCAAACGGATTGACCATAAACAAACCCAATTCAGAATAATTACTGATCCACCAATCACAACTAGACGATCCATATACCAGCTGCTAATGGCCCTGGTCTCTGAGAGTCCTGAACCTATATCATTGAAATTTATTTTCGCGTATGAAAATTTGGAACATAAACGCGTATTGAAATTTTAGACACATTCAACATCATCAACTAAATCAATCACATTATAATAATAATTATCATTTCAAAATGGCTAGATTCTCCAAAAATAATAAAGTTTCAAAACCTAAACCAAATAATCAAAACAAATCTTTACAAAATATAAGTAAAAATGCATCTAAGAAACAAGATGAAAAATCAGATGAAGAATCAGTACAAAATGAAGACATACTTAAGAATGCCATGGGTATATTCCAAGAACAATTCGATGCTGGTAAACTACAGGAGGCTATTGCCAAAGGTCAAGATGTAGATACCACTGTCAAGGGTCTACTTGATCAAATGTTGGGTGGTGTTTCTGTTGAATCTGATGATGAAGAAGAAGTAAAATCAAAGAAGGTGAAAGGTAATGAAGATGACGATGATGATGAATGGGAAACTACAGATGGCTCAGATGAAGAAGGCGACGAAGCCAAAGATGAAGAAAAAGAAGAAGAAGAAGAAGCGAAAGAGGACACAAAATAAGGAGAATTCACAATGTCTCTAATATAATTGTACAAATAATTCATGATTTGATGTTTTCTATTTACGATTACGTAGGACCGTTTAAAATTTATATGACCGAGACGCGAAAAAAAATGTAAATATTTAGGCTAATATTTTGCTAAACATCAACAAACTTAAGGCATAGCTTCATAAGTGAAGTTTGGGTATCGACGAAGGGTGCTATGCTGAAGTTCCCAGTTACCAGATCAGAGCTAGAAGTTCTTGGCTCCAAAAGTCAATCACCTTCGGGTAAAAGAAAATCACTTGAGAATGATTCTAGTGCGCCAAAGCGGACTAAAAAGAATGCATTTGTTGATAGATTAGAGAAATTTTCTAGAACTGGGAGTGCGTTAAAACAGAAATTGAATGAAGATGGATCGATTTTGGAAAAGTTTACAGTGGAACAGAGGAAGGATCTTTCAGAAGTTTTCTATGGGAATTGTGCGGATAAGAAATGTTTGTTCAAACATCTTGAAAAAAATTGGTTATTCAGAGATATGATTACAGATCAATTTAATTCTAAACATGGTACCAAATTCACAAGTGATGATTCAACAATCTTCTATTATAATGTACTGTTAATGGGGAGACAAGAGTTTAAAAAACAAGATTTGACAAAATTGGATTTTACAAAAATTGATTCACTAAATGATGAGGAGTTTTTCAATATGAATAAGATTCGATTATATCTTGATTATGAAAAATCAAATGTTTTAAATGAAGTGATGAATGATCAATGGGTGAAAAAAATCAGTAGAGCAGATATTGCAGGGTATAATGTTAAAAAAGAAGATACATTGAAAAGTGCACTAGCATCATGGTATTGGGAAAATTCTCATACAGATGAAGAATTCTACTTGATTAATCATTCACTGAAATATATAACCGCGGAATGGAACAGGAAATTTACGATTAATACCCCATTTAGTGAGTATGTGAGTCGACTTGAAGAGCAGTGTCCAAGTGTTTGCAATCCAAAACAAATATATAATCCATTGGTTATTAAAAAACCAACCAACAAACCACCCTCATCTTTTAAGTTTTCACTGGATGCATGTGAAAAGGCTATACAGGAGGCTACTTTCCTTATGGAGTATAACCTTCGACAAAAAGGTTTGAAAAAGAAAATTTCATCTTTGACTGACAAAGACATTCAGCTCAAAAAAGCTATAAAAGTTTTCAAGAGCGCAACTAGTGGTGAATAAGATCATGATTGATCGCTTAAATAATGACAAATACAAACGTTCCAAGAAAGAAGAATCAAATATCTTAGCAGGCATTGTAAGAGACGCGGACAAGCTCTACAAATTTCACCTAATATTCAATTTTAAACTAATTTACAAATTTATACCTCTTATAGAGTTCCAATATAATCAAAAAATGATTGTATATAAAAAGCTGATTGTTAATTCATGAAGGGAACAATGACAAAAATCAAACCCACTCAAAATAAATTGGAAAAGATTAAAATCAGAGAAATGACCAACATTGGATACAGCAACGAATAAACTTCTAAACCATTGAATACTGTAGCTCCAAAATTCAGTGCACCACCATTTGTTGAAATAGTCGAGGCAATAGACCCGTTTGTAAGAGTGTTCACTGAAGCAACATATGCTGTCTTTGTTTTGATAACTCTATCATTATCATCATAGTAATGATACACAGCATTTGGCCTTTGGTTACTGTTTCTATTCCCATAATTACGGTTATTGTTACCACTTCCAAAGAAACCTGTCCAGCCACCGTTACCACCAATTATATTAAACTCACTACCATCATAATATTCAGAATCACCATATGATGATGATCCTGACTTTGAACCTCGTGAGCCACTAGACCCTGTATAACCAGAAGACCCAGTGTTCGATGTACCAGATGAGCCAGATGAGCCAGATGATGACCCAGAGCTTGATAAACCAGATGAACCAGATGAACCAGATGAACCAGATGAACCAGATGAACCAGATGAACCA